ACTGGGAAGGGTCTCTGGCAGGGTGCTGGGAAAGCCCCTGCGATGGCCAGGTTGTGCCCAGCCTGCCCTCTAGCGTTGTTGCTGTAGCCATATGCCGGCTGTTGAGTGCTTCAAAAGAGGGATGAGACAGGGCTTTAAGAAAAGCTGTCCACATTTGACCCTTGTGATCTGGTGCAGAGAGCAGTTCTGCCTGCCTGCAGGGAGTTCAGCATGGCTCAGCTTCCTCCAGCCCTATTGAACCAGCTCTTATCTGCTTTAGCAACCCCCAGAGAGATTTATAACTGTCCTCTTTTTTGTGATTCGAATTGCTGTTCTGCTTCAATAAAATGCCTGCTTGAGAGGACCATAGCTAGAGATAAAACCTGAGACCTGCCTATCCTGCTGTGGAGGGAGGGGGACGTCTTTCCAGGCAGGATGTCTGCATCTTGCAGTTGTGACTAGCATGGAACTGGTAGACGGCTCCTTCTCCAGTCCTGGGATTGTGCTGCATCTGGTACTTGCTCTCCAAGGCACAGGAAACGCCCCCCCCATCATGTCTTTCTGTGATAGTGTTTAGAAGTCTCTCCCCTCCATGCTGCTGCCCTCACATCTGTTCCCTGTTTTTATGGAGGTCTCTTCTTCATTTGACCGGGGGAAACCTTCCCGAGGGCTGCTGCAAACCAGAATTTGCCCCAGTGCGGCACACATGCTCTTGCGATCTGAACAGACCCGAGCTGTACTGGGAATGCTGGTGCCATTGTGGGCTGACAGTCGAGGGCCACACAGGAGCATACAGGCTTGGCTACCTGAATAGTTGCAGCTCATGGAGATGTTGACTCTCTTCCTAGTTCTAAAAACTGACTAAAGCTGGTAAATCGTGGCACTGTTTTTGCTCCCAATATTAACACTACAATATACAGCTGTTACTTCCCCTTTGGTACCCGAGACTAACAAATGGCTGCTGGTCCTTCCCTGGCAGGCAGGGAGCTGGCTGGGAATCCCCAAGCTCTGCCCTGCTGCTCCACTTTGTCTTCCTTATATTTCAGCATAACCAGAGAGCATGCACACTACTGCATGTCTCTAAGCAATACCCTTCTCCCTGCCGTGGGTCTGGTAGGAGAGCAAAGCAGGGTACAGCCAGCCTCTGAGCACAGATCGAGTATGCTGGAGGGGGGCAGCTGAGGGTGTTCAGAAGCCTGGACCCTGTTCCTACAGCTGGAGAGTGGATGTTTAGATTCCATGCTGCTGGCAGGGTTGCGTGGGATAGAGAGCCAGCAGCTCACTGGGGAAACACAGGGCTGCTCTTCTGCAACACAAC